GAGAGAGAGAGAGAGAGAGAGAGAGAGAGAGAGAGAGAGAGAGAGAGAGAGAGAGAGAGAGAGAGAGAAGCGGCGAATAAATTAACGCAAAGGGGAGCGCGGTATGTCACGGCTATACATTGTAAGGCGCTGACGTAATGCAGCCTCGACAGTCAGTGCCTCCCGCGGACGGACATTTACAGTCCGTTCGGATATCGTATTAAACTCGCCGGGGTCGTGACCGAGGAGGGGGTCTGAGCCTCGCCGCGCCGCCCTGCGCCGCTCTGGCCGAGCCTGGTCAAAGACGGCCGCACATTGCTCATACCGATCATTAAAACGTTGGAAATTTGTCGTTCCGCAGCGTATAAACCTTGTTGTCGGCTACCTTAAGGCAAACGTGTTGATTGCAAGTGATGCGTGAGGGAGAACAGCACTTGAGTAAAAAGTATAACAATCGCAAAATCTTTTTTGTTTTGCAGACGGCCGGCACCATGTTCGCCATCATGCAAGTGGAGACGGACGAGCGGAGGGCGGAATTCAGGCGCAAGATGCGCACCAAGTGCGAGTTCATCTGCAAGTATTGTCAGCGTCGCTTCACCAAGCCCTACAACCTCATGATCCACGAGCGCTCGCACAAGGACGACGTCACGTTCACGTGCGAGGCGTGTGGCAAGACCTTCAAGCGGCAGGACAACCTGAAGCAGCACAGGTACGAGAACCTATTTCTGTTTCAGCTCAGTCTAGAAAATGATAAAAAAAATGGCAAAGGGCCAAATACATAGTGATATGTAGAAAGAAAATTACTCTTGTATAAAAAAGGAACAACTAAAAAACCACTGTATGGCACCGCACTCGTCCCACTTTTTCTCTTAACTGGCTCGAACTGTTTTACATCGCAAAAAGAAATGTTTGGTTAACGGGAAGAAATGCACCGCCCCCAAACGAGGAGGTCAACGATATGCGTCATAAAATGTTCGGCGGGCAGGGCGGCGGCTGTCCATCACGTCTCTGTCAACGCGGCACCGCAAGATATTTACGTCAGTAGGTGTGCCATGTCACTTAACGCCCCTCGCGGCCGCGACGCGCGAGACGCGAGACGTAACTCTCCCTCCCTGACAAAACGAGAAAACGCACTCAGCCAACGAGAGGATTTTATCCCAGTGGTAGCTCGGGCGGGTGCGGTGTCATGCGGGTGTGAACCTTATGCCAACATTTTGGAAAACTTACTGCTGTTGTTATGTGCTTTTAACCCATTTCTTCCAGCTTTTTATTTGAGGGCGTGGGGTGTTGTAAATACACTACTGGTGGTTTGTGTTATTAACATTCTCAATTTTGGGATGTAACGTCTTCCTCAGGAAACCTCTTCGTGCACAGCGCCCATGCTTTCCCCCCACCTCCATTTAGCAGGACCTCTGGGACGTCTCGTTAGAGCAGAAAATATTTTCTGTGTTATTTGTTTTTACAAAACAATAAGATGATGAATTTTTCAGAGTAGAAACTATTTTTTATAAAAATGGTCGCAAAAATAGTCCCAGATGCGTCCTGGTGGGGTAGGGGGAGAAAGGGCCGCAGAATCTTGGCCTCTACTAAGGACACCTCATATCTGTCTGTCCTTTAGATGTGGGTGGAGTTCTGGTGGGTGGAGTTCAGGCGGGTGGCGGTGAGGGGTGACTTGTCGCAACAAGACTAACTGTAAGCAAGCACAGCAATTTTTATTTCTCTCACGTATGAATACCATTTTAAGTTAACAGATTTGGTAGGCTTTGCATTAAAAATACAAAAATTATAAAAAAACCGCTTTGTTTTGTCATGAAAAGAAAATTGAAGTTTAGATAGTCTGGTCATTCCCATATCTTCTTAAATTCACCTTTCTTCCAAAATTTTCTTAGCTTGTTTTTGGTCTGCTTTTCTTTTAATGCAATGTCTGCACTCACACATTAATATCACTGCATGAACACTCTTAAATTAATTTCAATCCTATAACTAAAATGTTCTCTAAATTTTTATAAAATAATCTGCTTATATAATCCGTTAGCGGCAGCGATTAACGTCCGAGCTGGCAGCTAAAATTATCAGCTGACTTCGTCGCTCGCTTGATCGCCTAGCCGTACCAACCCGACAAAATTTAACAGATTTGTTTGTCTTACAGATCCATTCACCTGCCGTGTCGGACTGCTACCGGATGGACAGTAAGGGTTTGATGGGAGGCGACACTTCGTCCTTAAATTATTACTTTATAGCGTTACTACATTTACTGTGTTTCCCTTTTAACTGTCTGACTACAAGCGCACGTGCAAGTGAATGTTGTGATAACTATTTTCAGTCCGCCATTCCGTCTGATTTATAGATTAAGAAAATATATCTTGATAGTACCTATGCGGAAATATTTAAGATTAGGGACATATCAGTCGATTGAACAGTAGGCCCTATCTTAATGTATTTTGTTGATAATATTAAAGGTCCTATTCGGACTATTACTCTTTTAATACTGGCTGCCATGCATTGCGCTTGGGCTGTTTCGATCACATACTGGGGTGATAAACAAAAGTCATTATTTTTGGACACTTGCGCAAGGAAAATTCGAATTTTGACGCATTTACAACAATCAAAAAAGGCGAATATGAGTTACCACTATTTTGATTACATCTTACATTAACTGATTAGGTAATTGATCTCCTGCATCCTTAATTGACGGAGTTCTGTGAGCTTCCGAGCAATTTATTTCGTTCCTTGCCTAAGTTTCCGAATAAGATGAATTCTAGTCTAAATACTATAGCCAACTGGCTGTTTGGAATCAAAATGAACACACATTATTCGAGCTATCAAAATCTATGTGCAAGACAAAAGGTATTTCTCAGTGAATCAGGTGTCACTAATGCAGCTTTGTCATGTCAATTAAGTTCTTGAGTAAGATAGATATATTTCAGATGTGTTTATTTGTACATAGTCTAATTATTTGTTATAAACTAGATATTTGTATATGTAAATAGTAAAAACACGAGACACATCTGTGTTTCTGATCGCACTTTCTGTACTGGCATTTGCGCAGATCAGGCGCTTAAAGACACATAGAGCATATTCCTGTCTAAAAGAAATATTGCAACTTCCTAATTTGTCTTCATTAAGCGAAACTTGTATTAGGCGCTAGTTAAAAAGCTCTTTTTTCCCATTTGTTAATTAAAATGTGTTGTTAGAATTGTTCCTCGGGGGATGTCGGGAAACTGTGGAGAGCTAATTAGTGTGTAAACTCATCGACGCTTCCGATCTCTCGATATCTGTTGTTTAAGTGTTAATAGTTTAGTTTTCTTTGTTTGTGCTTCGTATTTTAAGTAGAGCTCAGATTCGAGCTTGTTTATTTTCGTTCTTATTTAATCATTGTTTCTATATTCTTGTCTCTTTTGAAAACTGATATGATTGACATCACTGTAGAAGTGACAAAAATCCCGTTTTTCCATTGCTTGTATGATACGACCAACGCTTATAAACAAATATGGCCACTCGCCACCATGAAAAAAATATATTTATTTTTACGTAACGGACAAGTATAGATTTATTTTATATGACTGATGTGTGAGTGTACGAGATAGAAAACTAAATGAATGATAAATAAACAATCAATGTTTTAAATTATGTTATGTCTTATTGCCCACCAATATTAAAACAAAAAACAAACACAAAAAACAAATCAGACAAAAATCACAACAAATAACAAACAGATAGTATTTTTGCACAAGAAAGGACATATGTACGGAACCAAATTTTGATCAAATCCGGTCAAGAAACGTCCACGATTCCGACGGAAAAGAACGTAAACGATTATTAAAGGTAATACACTTGATGTTCGGGTGCATAGAAGCGCGTGACATTGAGGTACAAACATCATAGCAGTTTTATGACCCCCAATCGTAAAATTAAGACCATATTGGAAGATCATTAGCCCAGAGGGGAAAATCACTCCAGATGAAAGTGTACGAGTTAGTACATTAATACACCCTATTTTTAGCGTCATTTTTCACAATTTTTACAAACTTTTCTTACAACAGCACTATTTCCCCTCATTTCTACCATTAGTGCGCGTTTTACGCCATTAGTTCGCCTTTAGTGCAGGCCTGGGTGTACGAGTTAGAACGCAAGTGATTTCCCCCAGAAAAAATATAAAAATCTAAAATAAAATAGGGAGTCTGTGCACTTTCCTCACAGGCACGCACAGAGTCTCAAACAGTCACTTTGGCGAATCCGACCAACATACTGTAATAGTTTTCAATTTTTAAATAATTTCAAAAGTCAAAATCAGGTTTAAATTCGAGCTGTCCCCGGGGCTGATCGATGACCCGTGTGAATGCCCGCACGCACGCATGCCATGCCGTGCAGACCGTGTAAGCACGCGGCAGGACAGACATGTGAATGGGGCCCAAGCCACTTGAATGAATCCACAGTATCCGTGACGCTCAGCCGACCACAGACACGCCGTGAAGCTGGTGGTTTCAAGGTTTTGGTTTCGTGCCGACGCAAAAGGCCCCGAAGGTCCCACCCTGCTGCGCACCGCACCCTCTCTTGTGGTTCAGGCGTGAGAAATATGCCGCCACAAAGTCTCACCTTGACGCGTGGACGACACCTGTGTCATCTTAGAGGGCGGGTGGGCGACGGTCAAAGATACTTTCCACAAAAGGAGCGCCTTTGAGCTGGCCAGCCGACTGTTTTAGACATACCGCAAAAAGCAACTCGCTACGAAAATATCCCATAACCTTTCGCAGTGGCACTTGGCGCTACAGTATCAATGACGTTCCCTGTCTGCAAGCACCCACGGATGACGATGGAACGCGCCCAAATTTAAATTTATTATATCCGGGCGACGAAGCGGCTACGTTCAAAAACGCCTGCCCTTCTGCCCCTAAAAGTTGACGCTGAGCAGAAGGAAGACTGAGAAAAAGGAGCGAGAGACCAAGAAGACAAAGACAGAGAGAAGGGGAGGGGGAGTGAGTGGGACGGGGAAGGGGTATTCGCCGTGGGTCCGAAAGGGGCTGATAAATGTGAGTGGGGCAGCCTTTGTCTTAGAAGCGGGCCGGACGTGTCATCCTTTTTGCATGTCACGCAGAAGAGCGGATGTGTGATCTCCAATACAGTGCAGGAAGGCGGGTTGAAATGTTTTACTTGTATCAGCGCTAAAATACACCGCAAACAAAAGGGCTGTTTGGGTAGTAGCCGGCAGAAAATAAAATATGTGGCGCTTCAAATTGTATACCCAATCGAAATGACAACTCATTGTTCCGCCACCTTGTTTGCAGACACTGTTATGGCAGGCTTCATGCTATAATATTGTTGTCACTATTGTTAATGGCGTTACTCTGGCCGTCCGTCCACAGAACTACTGCGAGTCTTTTGTTCGGCCGAGTGAACTGTAAATCAAGACGCTTCGGCAGCATTGCAAACGCCAATGGCCCGCTAAGGCGACTGCGCGTGACAGCAATTTCTGAGGAATGAGACCACCACACTGTTGAGTGTTGACCGCAAAATGTGCTGACGGGGAACAGTCACTACGAAAACGGTTCAGGAGCCGGGAACATACGAGCATGGGCGGTCCAACGTAATACGGTCAAATGACTATTAAATCGGGTCAAAGGGGGTCAATCCCGGGGAGAATCTACACAATGGCCGACGAATTCCGCCCTCTCTTCCTCCCCCGCCCCTCTCGCTACGCCTCGCCACACCGGTACGGCACGCCGGCGCACCGCTTTGATAGCGTCAAGTGTTGAAGTGTGGCGCGGCGTCCTACAATACCGTCTCACAAATTTATCATACTTGACAACGACGCGGTCTCAAGCCCCATTATTCAGCTATTAATCATGTGTGTGCGCTGTCGGCATGCGCCCGACCAAAGGGTCATCGCATGGGGTGTTGGTTCTGGGCTCTGACCCGCCGCGCCTTAAGATTTGACCTGAACTTCTCTCTTTTTCTTAACATGTTTTTTTTTATAACGTGCGAGATGCGTATACACCTCTGAATAGGTCGCGACGTGCATGTACAAATGTAGGACATTTTGTTATAGGGTCGACAAGGGTCCGCCCCTATTATGTGCGTGCGGGGTGTGTATGGTCCCCTGGCTTATGATGATTGTGTTGTTCAACATAAGCCCACTTTAAGCTGTGAATAGGCTCACGTGTCCTCACGCCCCCTAGCCTGGCCCGCAGGCTGGCCCGTGGTATGGGCCCGCACGCCCTAAGGGCATAATCCGATCCGTTCCCACACCAAACGGCCGTAATGAGGGGCGTTCGGCTATCCACAAAACTATACGATGCGACTTATTGACGTTGGGTTTGTTTGTAGGCTCAGCACGGTGAAAACAGTATACGAGGAAAGGGGTTTTCCCCCTCAAAAGCCTCAATACATTTTACGTATGATTTTTTTGATTGCAGAGACCCTTCAACGTGCTAAATATGAACTCAATGACATTATAATTAAAATGTCTTCATGAGCTTCGAGATATTTCCTCGTCCTCACACCTTGCGAGGCGGGTTCTGCACGCAGCGCCGCACCTCGCTGCGTGAACAAGATACACAATGGGCAATGTGGGTTTGTGGGTTGACTTCCGTGAAGGAGTTGAATAGTGAGGAGAAAGCTCACCGGGTCAGGGCGAGCCAGGGCGGTGGAGTTCGCCACCTTTGCACGGTACTAATGATGACCAGGGGTACACCACATGCATATCCATTTGCCAAAATAACTCTGCGTGTCGAGCAAACAAAAACATTGCGTTCCCGGAAACATAACAAGCGAGGCCGACTTGCACTGCTTCAGTTGAGTTCCGTGAATGCGGAAGCAAAACGTAGAGGAGCGCTTGCTTACCCTACCAAGGGGTTCCTCCGTCACTTAACAATCGAGTGTGGGAAGAACCGTGCAAAAGCAAGCAAACTCAAGAAGTGATGAGTGTGCACCTGTCCTTACCTACTTTCCACGTCTTCTGTCTGTTTTGGTGGTGCAAAATTGTCGGCAACAGAGTGGAACAAATGGATCTACTAGACGATGCCATTTGGTTGTTCAAATGTCTTTTCTCTATGCAAGCCCGCCCGTAAACAAACATTATTCGATGTTCAGACTCTGGCGCATTTCAACACAAAGAATATAGATGTACAGCACCTTATTTGTAACAGAACAGAGACGCATATAACGCACGGGAGCAATGCTCCGGCTGAGTGCGGTGCGGTCCCCGGTAGCTTACGCAGCCATTGTGAACTCGACTTTCGACTTTCAATGGACAAGTTCGCTCTCACGCTTTCTTGCTGTAAATCAATGCTCGGTCATTTGCCTCACCCCTGGCTCGCTTCTACACGACCGAAAATTTGGTTTTCTGGGGAAAAGAAATACTTGCTTTACCAAGTCTTACACTGAGAATAGTAAAACCAATTATTTAAAACCGAAAGACAAGAACCGTATCTTTTCTATGGTTAAAAATGTGCAGTAAATAAATGTCATGTTTGCGAAATCCCTGCAAACCAGTAAAATTAGGACACAACACTGTAAAACGAAATGCTTCGTAAAAATTTGTTTACGAAAAGGTTTCGTAAGGGTCGATTTACGAAACGTTTTTAAATATATTTCGTAACAAATTTAAATTTTCGGGTAAAACGTCATAAAGTTAGACAAAAAATATAGCCATTTGCATCTTCATACCCCATAGATGGGGCTTTGGATTTTACAATGCAATTTGTAAAATTACAATGTATCGTCATTTGTTAAAAAAAAAGTTTTCGTAATAACCGCGAGAAAACTTCGTAAAATGACGTTATTTTTTTACAGTGAAGGGAGAGTGGGCCTAAAAGCACACACAGAGAAGCGTGCACTTGCTATAGTACACACAAGGAAGAGTGTGTTTGCTACAGTACACCCAAGGAAGAGTGTACTACTTGCTATAGTATACACACAGAAGTGTGTGCTTTACCAAAGGCAATGACACAATGGAGAGTAAGTACACAGGTACATACATGTACATTCATGGTAAGTTCACTCTTGTAGGTGTGTACACTGGATCAAGTACATGTGTACTATAGCAAGTACACACTTCTGTCCGTGTGAACTTGCAAGTCAACTCTTCCTTGTATCAACTAAATTCACGGTTTGGTTTGCAGCGTAAACTAGTGTTATAATAGTCGCAAGATTGCTGTCAATTAAATAAGCATTGCGTGCTATACGGTAAATAAAACGGGAACTCTCGTAGGGAACGTTGACCCTTGAACTACGTGACAGCAGTCAGATCGTAGGCACGGCCCACCAACAGTGGCCCCCGCAAGAGAACGGTCCTGTCACCTGGACAATGGGGCGACGAGCGCACGCAATCGCCCAATAATGGCGAACAATTGGGCGAAAGGGATTCGGCCAGCCTTCCGCACTTGCTAACACAAGAGAGATGACAGAATAGCGGTGCCGGGGCGGCGGGCCCTGACCGGCGGGCCTCCCGCGGCCAGCGGCCAGGGCGTCAACCTCTGCAGCAGCTGACTACTGCTGCCCTGGCTGCAGAATGGAATCATCAGAGAAATCGGAACCGATCGTGCGTTGACCTGCACTACGGGACCACCCCGGGGACCGGCCGGCGCGGTGCGATGACGAAGTACCAGGGCAACCCCTGGCGCGGTCTTGGGGTGAACCACCTTCCTCGTCGAACTACGGTACTACGTGCCGCTTTCCGTACTTGGAAGCGGAGAAAGCACTGGGCCAAATTCGTGGACAACCGGCGGCTCGTACGCGTCAAATAGAAAGAATTAAGTAGCTCTTTTGAGCCACCGACTGACCTAACGACATAGGAAAAGTATGCAAACTTCCACATTTTAGACACGTCATTCCTGTTAAGGTAGGACCTCAGTGTAATGACCGGCACCCCTAAGGTGTGAGAAAAAAAACACAATTAAATTATTTTCTTAATTACCACGTTTTGGGAACCGCTAAAAAATATGGGAGCCCTGCATGGGCAATAAACTGGTAAAACTAGTGTGCAAATATTGCACACTTAAAGTGTGTAACATGATGATTTTGCACATTACATGGTGTTTAGCTGAGCTGCACACTCATAGTGCGCAAATATTGAACACTAGTTATCAAAACGTAAACAAAACGTCTAATGTTTGCACACCAATTGACGTCTAGTTCAGTTCGACATCATGAAGTGTTTAGTTTTTGCACACTTGATACAGGTGGATTTAGAGTTCCCTAAAAGCGAGCGTGATTTTCACGCCCGGCGTGATGAAAGTCGATCCCTGATTGGCTGGGTGAAGCTTACGAAGCGTGAAAATCACGCCTGGCGTGAAAATAACGCTTGCGTTTCGTGAACTCCGAATCTACACTACTGCACATCAATCGGTGTGCAACTTTCTACATTTGTTTTACCAGTGTACTAACAGTATTTTCTAGTTGCATGTTTAACTTGTATAGCCCTAGAGAAAATGTATTATGCGACTTAAAAATGTGGGTGAAGATTTTTTATTACCACAAGGTACCATTCTACATTCTACTGTATCTATACCCCTCTGATCATCAGAATTGAAATTTTTATTTTATATATTTTTTCCACTGCTAGACATACAGGCAAAAACGAAAAGACTCGTTGTACTTCATCTAAAAATAAAACAAGACCTTGAACGTGTGGACCTACATAAAGAAGTAAATCAGCTGCGGGACATCGCTATAGCTACAAAACTGCGCATGGAACATTCTAGCACCCTATTATAGACCTCTATGGTCAAGCTTTTCATGCATAAATTTTATTTTTTTAATTGGGGATTTGGCACTGAGCTCTTCGGTTGTCTATAACTCTGAAAATACCCAATACAGCCGCAAGAAAATATTCCGCTGCGACAGAAATAATTGAAGTACACTTTCAAAGCCGACAATAAAAATCAAATTTCCCCATTTTTGGCAATTTTTTCGCAGGGGCCCTACCTTAATGGCTAATGTGCTCAAACGGCGGGTGGTCATCCCGCTACCGCCCCCACAAAGCGACAAGTGCAGCTCAAAAAGGTCTCGCACAAGTGAAAAATCGAGATCCTACCGAAAGCCATTCTCCTCCCGCCGAGAGGGGAACAGTCGTCGCGCCGCATTGTTCCTATACCGCGCGCCTAAAAAGATTTCCCCGTTGTGACGGTCCGTGCCGTTCCCACGCCCACTCGGTGACCAGAGGCACGTCGCCCGGCTGCGGGGTGGTCCCTACTAATCGGCTCTGCGCGGATGGGAAATTGTGTCGACTTGTGCAGTCGCCGAGAAGAAAACAATAGTTTGCACGCTCATACGACAACCTGCCGCAGTCAGCACCAAAGTTGGGACCAATTCAATTGATTACGATAAAAATGCTTAAGATTTGTCAATGTACTGTGTGTCAGGGCCACGACAGAACGGTCTGCGGGTCTGCCTACTCGATACCCGTAAGGCGTCATGGCGCGAGGGGTACCTAACCAAAAAAATAAAATAAAAAGTGTGTACACCGAATTATCAAATTGTAAAGATTTCCGATTACCAATGATATCCAAAGATTACAAATGATTACCAATGATAACCAAAGATTACCAATGAATACTATGATTCGCCCTTCATTCTAAATCAAAGCGGCCACTTTCCCAGCCAGAAATGAAATTCGATCGACGTCGAATCGACATCGACGTTGCTCGAAAAACGCAATTTTGGCACTCAAATCGAGGTGTCGAGGTCGAATCGACATCGAATCGACGTCGAAGAAATTTTCATTTCTGTCTGGGTTTGTCCCGAGAAAGATGCATTTTCGTGCACATCTTACGTAGTTCTCATTGGTAAAACAAGTGTTTAATTTTGCACGTCAATTGACGTTTAAGTTCAAATGTGCATTTTCTAGACACTTTGTGGTGTCTAACTATGTTATACGTCAATTGGTGTTTAAACCTTCGACACTTCCGAAACGTGTAGCAGCTGCATACCGTATGGTTCCTAGTTCCCTAGTGACTGCATACAAGTGTTTTTTTAAACATTTACAAAACTTCTAAAATTTGCACACCACGCAAGTGTGCAACTTGAGTTAAACATCATGTAATGTGCAAAATCACAACTTGCGCACGTTTGTGCAAATATTGCACACTTGTTCTACCAGTGCTCAATTCTTTATCTTGAAGTTACAAATTTGCATCCTACGATTGGACAAATTATATTTCTGTCCGTGGGAGGGATGTAAATTCACCACATGCGCGTTTGCATTTAGGAAAGATATGCACAAAAATGCGTGTCTAAATCAACAAATTTGTCCTTTGAAAGGACCCTCATGAGTGGGTGGGTTACCAAAGATTACCACTGATTTCCAGAGATTACCAAGGCTGTGTACACCTGATTACCCAAGTTGGGCACCCTGAGGGGGGCTTAACGCCCTTACAATGTATATATCAGATTGCCAAGATTGAAAAATTGCTAGACGAATATTTTGCTTTTGGGGCATGATGCACTACTTGCACCCTCCAAAAGAGGCCTCGTGGTTAGTCAAGTCAAGTAGACAAAAAGCATGGGTTTTTGGTCTGGTTGCCTTGATATTGCCGAAGATTATTGTAGATTGTCAGGGTGGGTGTACACCAGATTACCAGAGTTGTGTCACCCTCGAATACTGTACGACACCTGAGTTTCAAGCAAGAGCATGAGAAATGCATCGCTGCTTGTAGACCGAGACGTTGTTTTTATCGTTACTTCAGTGCGACAGTACGCGACAGTACGGCTTTCGGTGTTACTCCGATATCGGGCTAAGGCATTTTAATATAATTTCAACCTATCGGCTTCGCTTTGACAACAGACGATAATCGGGGCGCTGGGCCTGTTTGCTCTTGTCGCCATCCGGGGTTCACCTCGGTGCAGTATTAACCGTAATTTGGTCCCGTGCGGTACCATTGTCCTCCACGCTGCCTTTTCAGGGCGTCGGGGCGTCGCCGTGTCACGTAATGGGGCAACACGATCGGAAAAAGCTTATAACCCCCGGGGAGCAATTTCTACTCTCCCCCTTCCTTTTTCCCTCTTCTGCTCTTTGCAATCATTTTGATAGAGGGGACCACAAGGCCACAAGACGGAAACATATTGCTGCAACCCCAATTACTTCCACAACAACCAGCTCAGCTGAACCTCCCTTGCACCGCGCTTCAAACCGAATCCGTTTAGTTTCGTAATAGAAGACGAATTTCCGGCACACCGTGGCACGCTACAGGTACACGATGCGCCTGAAAGGGTTTACGCGGCTGTCGGGGAGGGGTACTCTGGTCGGGCCATTCAGGGTAAGATATCATTAAATTAAATGCGACGATTCAAGATCGGACTAGAGTGCCATTACCCTCGTCTTTTCTCTTTCCGGAATGAGTGCCAGGAGCGTACTTTTGATATTCGATTGCAAGAGACAAATAATTTGAGGAGTGTTCAATTTCACGGAGACACACTTTTCTGCTCCTGCCCGGTACAGATCACAGTGACACAAATGCCAGCTATTTTCGTCAATTTTGTATGATTGCCGCCCGCTGAGATCCGGGGATGATCCCCATCCCCCTTTCCTCTTCCTTTGCTGCACACCTCCCGCGAAAGCCCGTCATCGCTCCGTAGCATGCCGTGATTGCCGAGCTATTCCCGCAGCTTTCTGATTCAAACGCCTCGCCGGATCTGAAACAGAAACATGACAACATAGAGTTAGGAAATGAAGTAAATAAAAAGGGACGCGTATTGAGGGCCGGCCACTTGATTTGACTAACCAAGGGGGCGAGAGGCCTTGTCCCAAGGTTTTTGATCCGGCCAGAGGCGATACAATGAAAGCCGCCACCGAATCAAATTAGTCTGCTCAGTTCAGATACAAAGAAGTCATGAGTGGCGCTCCGGGGCCGCGCGCCGTAATTGACGTGCGAATGCGCCCACCGCAGTCATATACCATACCGGCGGCCGAACGTTTAGGCCCTTATTGAAAGGAAGTACGCGGCCGCACCTGCAAATAATTGCACGCGCGATGTGTTTAGTGTTTCCTGCCGATTTGAGCCGATGCCCGTATTGGCAGTCGGCTGATTAATACCCCGACGCGGCCGTGGCCCGGGCCGTGGCCCGGGCCGTGGACCAGCAGGCCCAGCAGGTCCGTAACCGCCGCGGTAATGACCGGTTGGGTTCGCGATTCCCGTGCGGAGGAAGTAGGCGTGTTGGCCCGCCTGGCTGAGGCCGGCCGGGCCCCGGCCAGGGACAGGGCCGCCGTGTCATTTGTTCCGATCGGCGGCACCCGCAGTGAGCATCACCTATTTCATACCCTCCAAAGCAGTCTGCGCTGCTCCGTCTCACGAGCTGCACTCAAGAAAATTGTGTGACATCGCCATCAGTGTGTCCGGTAATCAAGCCACACCCAACGTCGGCAAAGCATGGTCGAACCATATCGTAGGCCAGCCTAGCTGAGCTACCGCAGCCTATCATAGGCACACGAAGACAACTGGAGAAACTCTACAGGCACGTGCCGTCAGTGCTGAGTGCATCTTTGCAGTTTTAACTCGACGAAGCGCCGTTCTCGAACGCGGTTTATTTCCTACCGTCCTGAGCCTAATTGTCTGCGCAGCTTATTGTGGTTCCGCGCCGTGGGGCTGAACGGGTACCGGGAAGAGATAACCGTCCGATCCACTTACTGGTAGCATAAGGCCGAGGTCCTGAGGCAGCGGCGGGCGCCAGGCGAGTGCCTCTGTGCGGAAGAGCTGCCACACGACGCGGTTTTGGGCCAAAACGAACGACAGACGGCAACCAATTAGAAGCGGCAAGAGGTCACCGCTGCCAATAAACCAAAGGCTGCAGCCGCCCTAGACACGCTTTACACTCATCCAATAAAGGTCCCGGGGCCGGCAGCGGCCGGCAGGCAAGTCCAGTCGGCGTGTGGCCAGCTTGTTTATCTTTTATTGCGCGCGCGTGGTGCTGTGTTGGCAGCCCTGGAATGTGCCAAGTGGCCTGTATAACAACGGTTGGCGCCCCAGTCGGTCTGCAGCCACCCGCCGCCGCGGCGCACCGCCCCGGCGCACCGCCCCGGCACACCGGCGGCAGCGGCACTGGTCCAGGGGGGCCAACCGCAGACACAGGCGAATTGATGCCGTAAAAGAGCAGCGCAAGGAGGACACCGCTCTTCCAGTTCAGCGTCAGGTGGTTATGTGGGCTGAATAGGACGTGAAGTCGGAGCAAATATGGCTGAGGCTTCAAACTTCTGAGCTTTAAGTGGAGGTTCCTCATCGCGTACTCACATCTTGGTGACCACGAACAACCCCATAGCATGCAGATACTTTGTTTCGCAGCAGTATAGCGAACCACATGAATGCAACCTCTGACTTGGTAGGCATTCCGTTGATATGATACAGCGGCCAGCACCGCCGCGGCGCGACCAGCGCGACCAATAAATGCTTGCCCGATCGTTGCAGCAGCTGCAGCAGCAGCCTTGGCAGGAGGCCGGCTGGCTGTTTGGATTGAAAACAGATGGAGTGGATGAGTCGGTAGCCTCTATCGCCTGCTGCCGAGTCATGCACAGCTAACGTCCCAGCAAGGTACAAATACATATTTGTAGAAATGTACCTCCAACATGATGGTCTCTAGAGCTGATCCATAATCTTGCAGAAGTTCAGAAAGATTTAGGCATAGTTATTGAAAATTGATTAAGAATCACCCTGAAGCACTGGGGAAAAAAGTTTAGGACTAAGCAGCAACGGGTAGTTTTAGTATGACCGCAACAAAGGTCACCAAATTTTAACTTTTAAACGGTTCGAATTACAGGATCTACTTAATCTACTTACTGAGCCTAGAAATAATATAAACCATGCATTTTAATTCGTGGTGATGGCAATTTTGGTGTAGATAGGTCCTAACAACTTATCTTGACTACGTTAGAGCACAAGTTTAAGATAGGCGCCAAATGACATTAAGTCCTACCCTTGATAAATCCAGTGAGATAAAGAGAAAAAGAAATGTAAGCTTTATTTACATTTGCGTTTGACATATTGTCGTCCTCATAATCTAGGCCGCCTCTGCCTCAAGTCAGGCAAAGGCTCAAATGCCCGATCACATGAATGAAGCCCAGAGGCTCTCACCAGTCGGAGGCTCAGAGTTGGACCGCCACCTGAGCCGCGGCCGACACGAAATAACACTCGACCGACTCCCCGAATCGCGCATTGTCTGCTGCTGCTTTTTAGTGTCGGTTATTTTTATCGGAATGGACAGAAGCGTAGGCGGGTTATTGAAAGTCAAGGATCTGCTCAAAGGGGCGCAGGAAGGGCGGCGGCGTATAGACACAAGGAATTGAGGATGAAGGGAGACTGCGAGAGAGGAAGAGAGTAGAACAGAAGAGAGAGAGAGACAGGGAGTCGGGGAGAGAGGGAGAGAGAAAGGGGGAGGGGAGCTTTGCATAGACGGTGGAGATAGGGAGAGAGAGTGGGCAACCTGCGCGCGCGCGTGTCCGACGGGCCTGCCTATCCTTCAGGCTGACGGACTTGGCAGCCGGCCCAAACAGGTCTTGAGCTGGAAGTCGACTCAGTGGTGGATGTAGTCGCAACAGAGAAACTTACAACAGTCTTCTTAAGGCATCTCACTTTTATTCCATGTCGTCCACGATGGCCATGGCTCGCCATGGCCCGCCAGGCCCGCCATGGCCAGTTCAGGCCCTCTGCCGAGCAGACCAGTTGGAGATTTATATAAGACGGCAAAGGCTGCTGGTGTTATCGGGCAAAAGAGGAGTGAGGCTCGGGACACCTGCCCGACCGTGTCAGCCGCTGCCGACCAGGGGCCCACCAGAGGCTCGCCAGGGGCCCAGCCCACCAGGGGCCCCCTCCCACTCTACGGCCATATCACCTCCGATGGGTCGTTCGTCGCGCGTCCCACCGGAAACCTCTGCTAATTTCGGAGACACAAGACAAGGGGGGATGGAGATAAAAGCTGGAGCCGTGAAGTGGCTGGTCGAGCGACCATCAGGGCTCGCACTGGGTGGCCTCTCCCCGCGCCCCCTTTCCCTCTCTCTCTCGCTCACTTTTAGTCTGTCTCGCTTCACACCGAGAGATGGATAGAAGATCTCAAAGGTGCGAATAATCGGTTCGCTGAGGACTAAGCGACGAACAGGCAGCCAAAAGTGGAAGGCGAAAGAAACGGCCGAGAAAAGAGAGGAGAGTAACTAGAAGAATCAGAGAGAGAGAGAGAGAGAGAGAGAGAGAGAGAGAGAGAGAGAGAGAGGAGTAAAGTCCACCGTCCCAGAAGCGGCCAGCAGCTCGTAAACGAGAGCAGGTGACCTTTCCGCGAGGCGAAGCGCGACTTTTAGCGAGGCCCCCGCGCCGTGTACCTTGTTGCAACGGGATCAAGCGCTGCTGGTCGCGCTCGGTATCGCCAAGCGCCGTACGTCCCCGCGAGCGCCACTTCGGGACGCGCGGGTCCTCTTTGGGGACAGGGAGCCATCGAGGCGGCACCTTCCCCGCGGGCGACCCGCGGCACGCACAGATACACATCGCTGAATGTGTCCGCCTCCGGCCTACAGCTTCTTCGTCGCCATAAACAAGCCTCATGGCGTCAGCCGGCCCGGGCCCATGGCGCACAAGGTGACGAGCGGCAGCCGCCCGATCCTTTTATTTTCCCTTTCCACTCCTCCTCCTTGATCCAGCGTGACCCTGTCCTGCTGGCCGGGCCGTCGTCCAGGACCAACGGCTTATCAGCGCACATCCATCAGCTGTGCAACTATATTAAGGGGCGCTAGAGGAGGGAGACGGGGAGGGAGGAAGGGAAGGGGGAAGTGAGGCGGTGTGAGGCAACATAGCCATGGATGATGATAGGAAGACGTTACCAAGAACGGCGTGGCTGTATGAGACAAAACTTTTCTCCATGTGATGTGATGACTCAGTACGAAAACAGTTACCATTCGAACTAAAACTTATTGCGTAAAATTTGGAAACACAATCATTTTCTGTGCGCTTTTCTTTGTGGTGCAGACCTCCCCGGTGCGAAGCGGGCACGGGCCTACAGCGGCCAGGCAGAGAACGAGTGTGGGCTGCCTCGGCGATAAAGCAACGCTTTGCACCCGATGCATGGGACTCGGTCGGCTCGTTGGGACAACTCTCCCTCTCCCTCTCTCTCTCTCTCTCTCTCTCTCTCTCTCTCTCTCTCTCTCTCTCTCTCTCTCTCTCTCTCTCTCTCTCCCTCTCTCGCTCTTTCTCTCTCCCCACCTCTCTCTCTCTCTGTGTTTGTTTTTCGTGTCGCGGTCGCTCGCTTGTTTGTTAATTCACACCTCGCTTTATCTCTCCCACCCAGGATGGGCACCGCGAGCCGGACCTCGGCCAGGCCGGGGCCTAATGGGCCGAGCCAAAACAAATTGCAGCCATGTCACCTTCTGATTGAAAGAGACGACTGGGTCAAGTGGAGGGGAGAGAGAAAACTTCAGAAGAGCAAGATCGGGAGCTCGGAATGCCAAAAGAGCGTTTAACGCTGCCCCACATTTTCACAAATGATTCTTTAAGTAGTGTGATACTGAAACAGTGGTTGCGCGCCTCTCGTGCTGACTGCTCACTCCGTCCTCACTTTTCGCAACAGGGCCCGTACCAGTTGGCGGTAAGGCTCGGGGGAGATTGGTGGCCCCGTCAGCGCGGCCATCCGTCGGGCAGGCGGGCCTCAAGGCGGGCGAGAGG